AAATTCGCGCTTATTCTGTCGTCCCTTTTACATAAAAGCCAAATTAGCTGAACCTATGTAAATAAAAAATTTATAAAAAAACATGTGGCAACTCTATGCAGCTCTATTACGGCATTTTCAATGTGATATAAATGTTATCAAATTAATATTAAATGCAAATGTTATTAATAATAACATGATTAACAATAAATATTAAATACAAATGTTATTGAATGTTATTAAAAATCGCAGAGTTCTTTTATTTTAAAGTACAACTTTATTTCCGTTGGAGATTGCATCGGTCAGTAAAATATAGATAGCACTTTGAAGGATTGGATTTAGTGTTTTCCATGCAGCTAAGGCATAGAACAACCAAACTCTTAATAAAAAGCCGATAATTTTAAACAAATCCGATTGGTTGTTAGTGGCAAACCGAACGACCTTTTATTTATTGGTATTTAATTTATGCAAACAAAGAATTCTTAAATAATGGCAAAACATTAAAAACAACAGTAGCGTCTGGAAAACAGGTTTGCAGGAGATATATTATAATTTAATTATAAAGATCTTAAAGTATTTGTTTAACGTAATTTATAAACCTAGTTACAATTTAATACATTTGTGTTGGTTATTGTTAGATATGCTACTTTTGAAAGCAGTTGGAATGAATTGTTTAATATATATTTCATTTTGCGCTGTGCTAACAACTAAAAGTGTTTATGTTAATACATTACTGAAGTCATAAGTTAAACGTAAATAAGTTCAATAGTTTAATAAGTTTTTTTTTGTTTTTTTATTTTTATTAAAAAAAAAATGGTAATTAAAGTTTATGAAATAATTTATTATTTCAAGATGGCCATATAAGAGTATTTCAAAAAATTATACTAAATACCGAAAACAGTTTTTTGAATGGGGCTAAAAGTTATGATGATTTATGCAAAAACAACTTTTGTAGACTACCATAGCTTATCTAAATCAAATGTGACATTATTGTTAAACGTGACATTATTGTTAAACGTGACATTATTGTGAAACATACTCATTTAGGTGTGGTATTCTAAATAATAGTTTCAATTTTCACAAAAAAATGGTTTTTCATGGAATATTTCCCCAAATAATGTCTTGTTATAAACGTCAAGTTACATTGAAAATAATTGAATACAATGAAAACAAACACTAATGCGTGGTTTTATGAAAAAATCAAATCCACGGGCTTATTTATAGCCAAACCCAAAGATACTTTATGTTGAAAATTACATCTTTTCTAAAAAAAACTAAGCTTGATGATTTGTTATAGTCGCATTACTTTAACCAGATTATAATTGTGGCTAAAATAATCTTTTCATACATACCAAATATGAAAAAACTTAAATATATTGTAATTGAAAAAACTTATATTTTTGTTCGGAAAAACGTGTACCATGCCTTAGTTGCATGAAGAACTTATTTGGGTTTCGACAGACAAATAACAAAAAATATTTCAGATTTTTTTTAAGTTAGTAAAAAAAAAATTCATCTTTTTAACTTGGAAGCTTTAACTTTATGCAGGTAAAAACATATAAACCACTGGAAAGTTTTAGTTTTGTTTACATTTACTTATTTACATTTCTTTGTAATTCTCCAAAAAAAACAGCGTCTTTATGGCGGTTTATTTATGTAGACTTTTGCTGGTACCTACTACCGGTTGTAGGTACCAGCAAAAGTCTACATAAAATAGATACACCTTGGGGAGCCAAACAAAAAGAAGCGCAGGATATATTACTATTTTATTAGGCGTTTTTTTATTTTTTTTAATCACATAAGCTGAATTAATTTTAAATTAATTTGTGTTTTTTATGCTATTTTATTTTGTTTTTAAAACTTGTTTTACCAGGAGTTAGTTTTACCAGTAGATTACTTTGTTAGCACACTTTTTTATTTTTCCCTAATTGTTGTAAAGAAGCTGTTAAATTTCTCAGCAATATCTTCAGGTTTATATCTTAGGTATTTTGAGAACATTTTAGTTGTATCTTTTTTTATTCTTGTAACCTCTCTTATTATACTCCATGTTTTTTGAGTGTTGATGTTATTTTCTAATGAATTGCAATAATATTTTTTTTTTTGATTTTTTTTTTTGATTTTTTTTTTATAGTTTCAAATAAATTTTTACATTGTTTATATGTTTTTTCATTTTTATAGGTCTTTTTTTTCAAAAACATTTCATAGAGTTTTTGTTTTTTTTTAGAAGATTTGATGAGTCCAATTGTCATACAAGGACTTTGTAAGCTTTTGAGCTTAGTTTTCCCTTCAATCTTTGGAAACGCTATTTTGTACAGTCTTAAGAATGTGTGTTTAAAGATATCGTAAGCCGTATTAGTGTTTTTTTAATTCGTAATCTGAGCCCAGTTTTCTTTTAATAAGTAACTTCGAAACTTTGTTATATTTTTCACATTTATTTGTCTTTTAATTACAGTTATTGTTTCTTTTTCTTTTTTATTGTTGAAATGGTTAAGTGAAAATTTTATTAGAATGTGGTCACTTATGTCAGATATTATTATTCTGTTTTGAATGATGTACTTTATAGAATTGTTTGTAAAGATGTTATCGATAAAGGTTGCGGTTTTTTCGAGTTACACTTGTCGGCTTATTTGTTAAAGGTACTATGTAGTACTGAAAGAGGTACTTTAGAAATTGTTCGGTAGTATTATTTAGTTTTATTTTTAGAGGTTCCAGATTAAACTCTTCCATTAGATATATTTGATTGTGTTTAGTTTTATATAATGAGTTAAGTACTTCTCAAAAGATTCTATATTGCTACCAGATGGTTTATTGGATATTGGAGTTACAAACGCGTATTTTTCATCTTGGTTTATCAATTCAACCATAAAAAGGTTGCAATTTGTGTTTAGTACACTCAAGTGTTCTAGCTTTTTGAATTGAAGAGTATTTTGTATGGAAAAACATAAATCTTCACCATTTCCTCTTTTCCGAGTTTGATGGAGTACTTTATATTTTTGTATTTAAAAACTTGAGTTAAAGATATCATCGTCTTTTTGTTGTTTAATGTTTCTATAAGACATATTACCTTAAATTTGTTATTTATGTCATGTAGCATTGCTTTAAAAGTTTCAAAATTTTTACTCATATATATAAAAATACATATATTCTTCCATGAATAAAATAGGTGAATAAAAATTTCAAATTGCTTAAATATTATACTGTTATATATCATTTAAATGAAGATCAATACAGTATTTTAAAGTTGAAAAAGTATAAAAATCGAATTATTTCTTCAACAGTTATGACGGTTTATTTACCGATTTTTCGACTTTTCGAAACTGTGGTCACAATTAAGTTTTTTTTAAACTTAAAAAGTCATAACTTTGTGCGTTCTTATCAAAATATCTTGATTAGTTTAGTAATTTGAAAGAATTTAAAGATGCAATTGTGATTGGTTGACTTTTAAATTTTGAGAAAAAATCTGATTACTGTAGTTGTTTCAAAATCCCAAGTCAAAATCTTGTTGTAAGAGTTGTAATCTATTGAAGTTGTAACCAGATGTAACGATTTTACTGGGAAGTGTGGGGTGGTTACCGCCCCCCCCCCCACCAAAGATTATGAATGTCAAGTATAGTCGGTTTTTTACATATTTTAATCGGGTAAATTTTGTTTTAAAGCCCTTTTTTTTCAAGAAGCCAGTTGGTACTTTTTAGGGATTCACTCCCCGCTTCTGGTTGTAACACAGCGTTTTAATTTTGATCGAATTTTAAAATAAATTGTTATTATTTTTTGCAAAATGGAAGTTATTAGAAAAACACGTTTTTATTTAAGTTTTTATCACGCTTTGCTGCCGTTAGTTTATAAATCAACCAATCAAACTCCACTACCGTGACTTTAAGGGAGAAAATAAAGAAATGGTACCGTTGCGCTAGACATAAAGTTTTTATTTTGCAACAATAGTTTCTTAATTAAAAACTTTAGTCTATTACGGAAACACATTTTATAATTGTTTTTTTTTTGCTGCTGTTTTTTTTTTTTAAATGCTTGTTATGTAATTTTTAATTATGTTTTTATAAACTTTGTTACTTAAATATATATATATATATATATATATATATATATATATATATATATATATATATATATATATATATATATATATATATATATATATATATATATATATATATATATATATATATATATATATATATATATATATATATATAAAGAGAGCCCCTTCTTTTGTTTCTGTTTATGTTGTACATTGTATATGTTAAAACGAGAAGCTCAGACAAATTTTTTTTTAATATTAGTGTATGAAGCTCTTTGTTAAAATTTATTATATAATCAGAAGAAAAAAAAAATATATATATATATATATATATATATATATATATATATATATATATATATATATATATATATATATATATGAATATTAAGGAAATTTAATATGTAAACGCTTAATTTTTTTTTTTAACTTAGTTTTACCTCCGGTTATGCCTTTGGTTAATTAAGTTTAATTAATTTATCTAAAGTTTTTTATGTTTAAACACTTCATTTAAAAAGCATTAATAATAAAAATAAATTGCTTTAGGTAAAAAAATTAATACATAAGTAAGACCCACACACACACAAAAATTAATCAGGTTATGAAAACGAAAAAAATAATTAACAAAAAGAATAATTAACAAAAAGCGTCAAGCGTCAAGATGCGTTAAATTTGCAATTTTAATTTCAAATTTGCCATTTCAATTTCTTTATTTAGTATTGAAGGTTTACTTGCGTTAAAGTATTAACAATTTAATTTTGTATTTAAACAAAAGCATTGCGACATGGAAATTTTGCTTTGGAATGTAATGTTTAAGGAAGCGTAAAGAGTCCAAAGAAAAAAAATTTAACATTAAAGCAAAAAGTAATTTTATGTCAAAACGACAAATTGAGTTTTGGTGTACTAGTTTACGGGATCAAAATGTATAATACGTTGTTAATTAAAAAAAATTAAAAAATATATCTTGACTTTATTCTTATCTATTAATATGGCTTTGGTAGGTATATTTATAAAAACGAAAAATAAAATCATTAATTACCGCTAAAAAAAAAAAATATATGTTTTGCCCCGAGGGAAAATTATGTTTAATTTTGAATTGTTTTTTTCCAAAGAGATTTGAGTAAGGTTTCGATTGTTGATTTGTTTCAGGAAATCAATGGCAATACTATATTCACCTTTCTAGACGAAACTTCAAAAGATATCAGTTACACTTCATCAATTGCAGGAGAAGACAACCTTTCTCGTTTGTTAATAAAATCATCTATTCTACAACAGAACTCTCCTGGTTACGAGTATGTAGTTATTAATTTATTTAAAAAAAATTTTTTTTAAGATTTTTTAAAGACGTACATTTTTTTAAATAATTATTTGCATAAAGATTCTATTAAAAGTCATGTAAAACCAAATTTTAAAATGTTACATTTGTCTTGACTCTTTATATTTTATTATTCTTTAAGCTACGCAATAAAAAAAGCAGTATTTGAAAAGCAACCTCCGACTAACCTTCGAAAAAGCAATTTTTTTCATTTTGTGCTTTCGTTCTATGATAAAAATGATGCCACAATCGAAGTTGAAAAAGGTATTTTTGTTGGTTTTGTTCAAGATAGCGATGTCACAAATCAAAAAAGAAACGGAATTCATTACCAGTTAAGCATAAAATTTGCTAGTGGTAAGTAAACTTTGTAAATAAAATAGTTGTATACATACACACATGCATACATACATACATACATACATACATACATACATACATACATACATACATACATACATACATACATACATACATACATACATACATCAGTGCCGGATCAAAGAGGGCTAGGGGAGACTATAGCACCAGGCCCCGCAAAATTAGGGGCCCCAAAAAATTTTAGAGGACCTTTTTTTTTTTTCTTTTATGTCACTTTTGGGCTCTGGCCCATAAAATGGCTTCCAAAAACAAAAATAGCCCCGGGCCCCAAGAAGTCTTAATCCGCCACTGGCATACATACATACATATATATATACATATATATATATATATGTATATACATATATATATATATATATATATATATATATATATATATATATTTATATATATATATATATATATATATATATATATATATATATATATATATATATATATATATATACATACATATATACATACATACATACACACATACATTCATACATATTTACATATTTGCATACATACATACATATATACATACATATAGATATATATGTATGTATATATATATATATATATATATATATATATATATATATATATATATATATATATATATATATATATATATATATACATATATATATATATATATATATATATATATATATATATATATATATATATATATATATATATATGTATATATATATATATATATATATATATATATATATATATATACATATATATATATGTATATATATATATATATATATATATATATATATATATATATATATATATATATATATATATATATATATATATATATATATATATATATATATATATATCTATATATGTATATATATATATATATGTATATATAATATATATATATATATATATATATATATATATATATATATACATCTAACGATTTCTTTTGTACATGGAAGTATAACTTCTTCAGCCAATGTGTGAGCTTTTTTGTTCTGTGCTATTATATATGAAACCTTATAGGATGCTTCTACTATATTCTGTTGAGTTTGGTAAATAATCCCAGATTGATAAGCTGTTGTTTTTTTTTTTTACTCTTTCAAATAAATTTGTATTCATTGATAAATTCTAAATTTTATATACAACAATCTCTTAGCATTAAAAAAAAAAACATAAGTAAAAATATATCAATTTTTGGAGTTTGTTCCATGTCTGAAAGTTTACCTTCTCAAATATGCTGGATCCGCCTTTATAGGGAAGAGCAGTTAGGATTCATACAGCGGGAGTATTCGTACAGTAGGCATATCTAGAAATGATCGAAGATTTCAAATCTCTTTTTCTTATACTTATTTTCCTCAACATACAGAAAACTATATTGATAATTGATATTGTAAAAATAAAAAAATTAAAAATAAAAACTAGTATTCAATATTATTTAAAATGAAAACATCTACTTTCACCGAACTTTAAATACCATCTCATAAGTTTGGCCGCTATATAAATACTTATAACGTATCACTAACTTAACGTCACAAATAATGAAAACTAATTTTTAAATTTTGTTTTAAATTATGATATAAATTCAGGCAATACCAGTAACTAAGGAGAGCGTCGCTCCGAGCTCAAAAAAAAGTCTTTTTGGGCACCAAAGAAAACAAGAAAGAGCACATTAAAAAAGGCCTTTTTAAATATAAGTAGTAGTAATAGAAGTAATTTATATTGTAATTAGTAAACTATTTTATTACTTTGAACATTATCACCATTCTTTGTTTTGACACATTTATATTTATGTGTGTGTGAAGACCACTCATGCTCAAAGGCTAACAGCTTAGTGCCGTGGAAGTGCTATCGTAATTGTCATTGGAACAAGTTAATACGTGTTTTTGCACTGTTAAAGTAATATTACAAATAATCTTTGAAAACATTTATTTGTAATAATTTTTGATCCAATTAATGAAACAATTTATTATGCTTTTTGTATGTGTCTTATATTAGCATTTAAACAATAATTTTCTAATAACCTTATCCGTTATTTTAATTTTGAATTTATATGTTAGTTTTTATGGTTGGGGCACATTCGTACAGTAATAAGGGGGGAGGATTCGCACTGTAAATACGTATGAAAAAAAACCGCACAGCCTGTTCTTTCGCATTTAAACAGACAGCCGTTACTGATTTCTAGGAGAACCTAGTAAAGCTCTTAAGAAAATATGTATTCTCTTCAGATATAATTTCATATATATAATTTTATTTTTATTATGTTTAATATTTATTTTGTTTCAATTTTAATTAAAATAAATGTTTATTTTCAATAAATACATTTTTAACTTTGTAATAAAGTACCGAACAAAAAATTGAACGAAGCTACGCCGCGTTTGGGGTGGATTTGTACAATCTTCATTTTTTTTGCAAAAGACATCATAGTACTGTCTTGGTAGCTTTTTTCAAAACAATATTATTAGAGCTAGATATTTAGGTTACTCAGCAGCATTAAAATTATTCTAAAATAGCAATTATTTTAGCTTTTATACGACTTAGTATAAAAAGTGTACTAATCCTACCTGCTTTCCCCTATATCAGTGGTTCCCAACCTTTTCTAACCCGTACCCCAAATTAAATATCCTAAAATCTTCATGGACCCCTTTGATTTTAAAAATTATTACAAGGTGAACATTTTAATAATGTAACTTTTATTCATAAGGATAATATTTTATTTAAGGTATTTTTGAATAGACTAGACACAAAATCAATATTTATCAATGACACAAAAATTTTTTATCTTAGTTTATGTATGATACAAGAACAGATCAGTGTGAATTCTGACACTGCTTACTAGCAATTAAAATCTGAAAATTTGGTTTAGTTTTTGATAGAGCACATCTAATATCTGCATCAATATCAAGTCTATTTCTTTTTTTTGTTTTAAGAGATAGCATTGCTGAAAACCCGGCTTCACACAAATATGATGTTGAAAAAGGAATAAGGGCTTTAAGTGCAATTGATGAACACAATGGATATGACTTCCTCATTTTCAACCAGAAGTTATTTAATGGTGCTACTTTGAAGTGATCCTTAGCCGTGGTATCATTCTTTAACTCTATAAACTCTTCTTGTGCTTCCTCTTTCACATTTTTCACATCACAAGAAAATGGTGATATAATAACTTCACTGCTCAAAAGATTCATATCTGGAAAATAGTTACCAAGTTCAGTAATCAAATTATCTAGGTGACAAACTATTTCTGTCTTTATAACTTCAGGAAGCATGTTAACTCCAATTATGTTATTTAAATTTTGAAACATGATCAAGTTTCTATTATTAATTCTAGTCTTGTACAGTTTGAGCTTTTCAATAAATGCCTTCAGTTTATCTGAATGTGTAATAACATTAGCATTTTTGCCTTGAAGTTGCAAATTTAACTTGTTAAAATGACCTACGATGTCAGGGGCGGATCCAGCATTTTTTGGTGTTTGAGATAGCTTACTTCCAGACATGGAGCAAACTCCAAACATTTACATGTTTATACTTATATCAAGTAAGGATGGTTTGCAAAAAATTGCGATGATTGGAGCCTGGGAACAAAAAAGCCCCAAAATTTGAGACGTACCTGCCCCAAACGTGAGAGCAACAAGTTGATAAAATATTTTTTGTACTATTCTCAACAAGAATTATATTTATCAATAAATTTTAAATTTCATAGTAAAATATTTTAGCGCTTAAAAATTATGACCATATAAAAATTGTGACCTCCTCGAACTGAGGGGGATTCAAACTTTACATGGTCATAATTTTTGAACGCTGAAATATTTTACAATGAAATTTTAAAATTTATGGATAAATATAAGTCTTGTTGAGAATAGTACAAAAAATATTATATCATCTTGTTGCTCTCACGTTTGGGGCAGGTACGTCTCAAATTTTAGAGCTTTTTTGTTCCCAGGCTCCAATCATCGCAATTTTTTGCAAACCATTTTTATTTGATATAAGTATAAACATATGAATGTTTGGAGTTTGCTCCATGTCTGGAAGTTAGCTATCTCAAACACCAAAAAATGCTGGATCCACCCCTGGATGTCCACAAGATAAGCAGTTGTTATTTCAAAATTATCAAATTCAAAATATTCTATCAGTCCACTTTTCATTTGACATAAAAATTCTTTCACTTCATTTCTAAGCATGAAAAATCTTTCCAAAAAATTTCCAGCAGATAGCCATCGCACAGAAGTATAAAACAATAACTTATTGTGTTCAGCATTTAGGTCAGAGCAAAATTTTGTAAAAAGGCGAGTGTTAAGAGCAGAAGATTTTATATAATTGACCAACTTGACTAATTGATTAAATACAGTTTTCAAACTACCTGGTAAAGTTTTGGTTGCCAAAGCCTGTCTATGAATAAAACAGTGTACACCAACTACATTTGGAGCAATCTCTTTCACCCTAGTCTGTAATCCAGACTTACAACCCATCATGGCAGGAGCTCCATCAGTAGTAATTCCAAACAAATATTTCCATTGTAATTGATTGTCATTGAAAAACTGTTTTAAAATTTCCATAATATTAGCTGCTTTTGTTGTTGTTTCAAGGCAAGAAGAAAACAAAAATTCTTCTTTAAATTTGTTATTGTGAATATACCTACAATATACAATTAGTTGTGCCATTGAACTTACATCTGTGGACTCATCCAACTGAATAGAAAAATATGGGGATTCTTTAATTTCATTAATAACATTTTCTTTAATGTTTGATGAAATATCCGTTAGCCTTCGTTTGACTGTAGTATTTGATAAAGATATATTATCTACCTTCTTTGCAGCTTCTTCTCCAAATAATAATCTAACGATTTCTTTTGTACATGGAAGTATAACTTCTTCAGCCAATGTGTGAGCTTTTTTGTTCTGTGCTATTATATATGAAACCTTATAGGATGCTTCTACTATATTCTGTTGAGTTTGGTAAATAATCCCAGTTTTATCCAATTTGCATCTCTTCAGTGATTCAAATTTTCTTTTGAAAAAATCAGTATCTTTTGTTTGGAGATCAGGATGGCACTTATTCAAGTGAATAGCAAGCTTTGAAGGTTTCATAGAGTCATTTCCTAGTACTTTATAACAAATAACACACTGTGGGTAGCTAATGGTTTCTTTAAGCATGTAGGTAAATCCATATCTCATGTATTCATCTAAGTATGACCTTTTTTTACTTTTAGACATCTAAAGTATTTAAAAAATAATATAAAAAGCATCTATAGATAAGAGTAGTATATTATCGAATTTTTATAGAAAATAACACAAATTACGTTCTTTCAAACAAATCAGTAAGGTTATCTTTACCATGAGATAAGATTTTAACATTTTAAATTTACGGATAAAAAATGATATTATATAGCATTTATTACTTCGTAGAGGTCCGCAAGTCCTCGTCGAATTAGTTAACGCAAATTTTGTGTAACAGCTTTCTCGCATAAATTACATTTTTAATTTAAAATTTAATTTGTTTCTTTCAACAGAAAAAAATAATCAAAATTAAGTTTCACTACCAAAAAATATTTAGAATTTACGTTTATCTTGTGGTCCGCTTAAAAAGTTCTTATGGACCCCCAGGGGTCCATGGACCACCGGTTGGGAACCACTGCCCTATATATATATATATATATATATATATATATATATATATATATATATATATATATATATATATATATATATATATATATATATATATATATATATATATATATATATATATATATATATATATATATATATATATATATATATATATATATATATATATATAAATATAAATATATGTATATATATATATATATATATATATTATATATATATATATATATATATATATATATATATATATATATATTTGTATAAAGATATAGTTAAAAATAATATGTGTTCTTGTTTAAAAGGGTTTCAAACAACGCAAGAGATATATGTCAAGCTTATTGATGCTCAAAGTGGAGCAGTAAGAACTTTTATGTCTATATTTTAGGTCCCACATTTTTGATAAGAGCAGATAATTTTTTTAAACTTAACTTTTTTTGACTGGACGCTAGAAGGACACGTAATAATTAAAAAAAAGAATTTGTAGATCAATCACATGATTTACAAAAAATGTATACCTATTAAAACGAAAAAAAATTAAGATGCGAGTTAATAGGGACTAATTATTAGATGAAAATTAAATTTATATATATTACAAATTTTATTATACAAATTAAATATATTTAATTATTTTTCATCTTATATAATTTTTTAAAATAAAACTTCTTTTTATGATTTAATATCTATTTGTTAAAAATATATTTATTTTTACGATATTTTGAGGAAATATTGATACCCTCGTTATCAAGTATATTAAAAACCGTTATAAAAAATAAAACTGCAAGATTATACAAAATCGTTTAAATTTACAAAATAATGTTCTTTGTAAGAGCTTCTTATTAAGAAATTTTTTAAGAGAGTTTTTTGCGACGTAAGAATTTGAACATGGGTTTGCAAAATGACGTTGTCACATAATCGCCATCATTTCGATTAAGACCATTGTCGCGAAAGGTAATTTCGTTGTGTTGTATTTCCAAGGCTTTCCTGACTTTCCTATTAAAACTTTTTTTTTCTATTTTTAAAGAATTGTGACCATTCCAGTGGAAATTTCCTTTGCAAATTTTGGAATGTTCAGCTACAGCTGATTTTTTCCCTTTACCTCGTTGTGCACTTATTTGATGCTGGCATATCCAAGACTATATCTTTAGTCCAGTTTCACCAACATAAAATTTGCCTCAAGAACACTCTAGTTTGTAAGTGTAGGTTTATTTTTGGAAATTAGTAGAGTTTGGAGTTTGTTTGAAAACCCATGTTCAAATTCTTACGTCACAAAAATATATAATTATAACATTATAACATTATAACTTATAACTTTTATAAGAAGCTCTTACAAAGAACATTGTTCGAAATTGTAAACGACTTTGTATAAAAAAAAAAGCTATATAAATCGAGGGCTTATAGCTAAAACGGCGTATGTACACTTTCAATATTTAAAAAAAAAGTGATTTGTAAAAAAAAAAAAGTTTATACGTCACGGAACTTCGTGCTTTTTTGACATAATATAATTATGTAACATGAAATTCTGTGATGAATTAGATTTTTGATAAATGATCGAAGATTTCAAATCTCTTTTTCTTATACTTATTTTCCTCAACATACAGAAAACTATATTGATAATTGATATTGTAAAAATAAAAAAATTAAAAATAAAAACTAGTATTCAATATTATTTAAAATGAAAACATCTACTTTCACCGAACATTAAATACCATCTCATAAGTTTGGCCGCTATAAAAATACTTATAACGTATCACTAACTTAACGTCACAAATAATAAAAACTAATTTTTAAATTTTGTTTTAAATTATATAAATTCAGGTAATACCAGTAACTAAGGAGAGCGTCGCTCCGAGCTCAAAAAAAAGTCTTTTTGGGCACCAAAGAAAACAAGAAAGAGCACATTAAAAAAGGCCTTTTTAAATATAAGTAGTAGTAATAGAAGTAATTTATATTGTAATTAGTAAACTATTTTATTACTTTGAACATTATCACATTTGCTACGCCACTGGTTAACAAAAAAAACACTACTTTTCGTTAAATGAGCTTTGTATGTTTATTGGCAATTTTTTGTCAGTATCGTTGACCATAGTAAAAAAGCAAAATCCACACAACCAATCAGCGGCGGATTAAGGCTGCTTGGGGCCCGGGGCTATTTTTGGAGGCCTTTTTATGAGCCAAAGTCTAAAAATGACTTTAAAAAAAAAAAAAAAAGATCCTCTAAAATTTTTAGGGGCCTCTAAATTTGTGAAGACCGGGACTATAGCCCTGGGCTCCACATCCATAATTGTCGTTAAGCTGTCATTTTATCTCCGAAAAATGTCGCAAGCTCAATATTTTTAAGAACTCAAAGAACCGTTAGTTAATTTTGAAATTATTAAAAAAAAATTTATTGAAATAAAATACCATGGCGTGTATCCATTAAAATGTTAAAACTTACTGGTAAATTTACTGGTAAATTTACCGGTAAGTTTTGCATTCGCAACACTTATCAACATTTCACAATATTACTGCTAATCACCTTCGTTGTTTATCCGTAAATGACCAAAGTTAGAGTATTTCAAAATTTTCAAAAATTAATAATTTTTTTTTGTAAATATAACTAATTTGGTGATTCTTAATTTTGCTAAGATTAAATATGATCATTTATTTTAATAGTTTGTCTGTTTTAGATTTTATTAGTATGCATTTTTTCAAATTGTTGTTTTGCAAATAAATTATTTCAGCATGTTGCATATAAACTAGAGATTGCAATCCCGCACAATTTTTAATCCCGCGGGATCCGCGCGGACTTTTTAATTTATGTGCGGATCCCGCGTAGGATTGTTAGATGTTTTATGCACGTTATAAAATGGAAAATGACATTTGTATTTTTCTTTAAAGTATTTCAGAAAAAATATACTCAACTTATTAAATTTATAAGATGAGGTAAATGAAGTACAATTCACATGTAAATCAATATAATTCTTAAAATTTAATGAACAAAAAGATAAGATAAAAAAAGTTATTAAGTCATTGATTTGAAATCGTTTTTCTTGGGTGAAACAAATTTCTAACCCAACATCAGTTAAGGGTTTTTCAATACACACTTTTAGTCTATGAAATCTTTATAACATATCGAAGATAATGTTCCACCTAGTTTTGCAATCAAGAACCAACTTAAGCTTTTTGTCGTGTTTATGTAGGATATACTTATGTAAATATGTATCATATTTGACAGGAGAGTTTTTAAATATTTTCACAACCTTTCTCACTTTTTTCATAAGATTTTTGTAATTACTAACTAATTCAGCAGATGGTCGGTCCAAAATTATTGTCAAACAATATTCTTTATTTATAACTTTATCATCATCAGTGTTCTCATGTTCATTTTCTTCTTTGCAATTTTCATTTGTAGTAAACGATTCTTCGACTTCTCCGTTGTTTTTCTTGTATAAGATATCAATAACTGCAAGTTGTATTCCATGAGCATAATATAGTTGATGATAGCAAGACATCATCTTACCGACTTTCACCATCATACTTGCTCCATCAGTGGTCATGGCAATAATGTCTTTTTGGAGGTCGATATCGAAACTATTTAGCAACTAACTTGACGCAATATTCTGCATTACACGATTCATGGGTTAGAATCAATCCAAGATTAAAGTGTTTCGCCTCCATTTATACATTTAACTTAAATTAAATGTATCTCCGACTATTTTGTGTCCATTCTTCTAACGTTATTGAAAACTTTTGATTTTGCTTTTTTAGTGATATAAATTTTTGCATTATATCGGCTTTTACAGAATCTGAAAATTTTACTATCATCGATCTTATAGTATTAGGTAAAGTAAGGAGCTGGAAACCACTCTTTGAAAACAAATACCGCAAATCTGAAGGTGTACAAAAACGATTAAATCTAAAGCCATCTTGAGCAACCATGCGCGATACCATTTTTCCATAAAAATTTCTAGTTCAACTGACACATGATGTTTTGAAGTCTTGATGTAAAACTTTTGATTTTAAATCGATGCCATGTTTAGTTTTTAAATGGATTAATAACCTTTATGTTGATCTGACTAATTTTTAAAATAGAGAACATAACATACTCCTCGCATTTTCTTTTTTATCGCTTTTTTAAAGATAATTCCATATAGTTTTAATTTGCGACATGCTTAGTAGGTACTTTTGTTTTAAAATCTTGATATAAATAATTTTTGATGTTTTTTTTAAAAATTAATGCGCTATGTTTTTTATTATTACGCACTCACGTTTTTTCAATCTCAAGTTTTCAACATACTTATCAACAAAAATTTCAATATACTCATTAGCAAAAATTTCAACATAATTGTTAACAAAACAAAAAAATTTAAACGATTTTCTCATTATACATTTCACTGTGCATATATTTGTGCACTTTAGTAAACTTTTGTTATACATTATAGTGAACTTTATACTAGCAAACATTAAACACTTTAGTGATATCTTTTTTGTCTTTTTTGTTTAAAGAATTGCTTTTTTTTATTATTTAAAAGCAATAATTTCAAAACTCAGTAAATCCTGCGGATCCGCAGTAGTTTTTGCGGGACCTCGCACGCGCTAAGATAATGTGGGATCCCGCGAGATTTCGGGATTTCAATCTCTAATATAAACATAATTTTTTTATGGATTCATATTACGAATTTTTTCTTAAACAACCGAAATTACATGGTGACCGCACTTATGCGACTTCATGGTACTGATTCCTGTTATCACCACGTAAATTCAATTCAAAAAATACAAAGCAACTTTAACTTCACTGCTTAGATCTTAGAAATCTTTTAGTATGCTTATATTACCAAAAAAATTATAAACTAATTATTAAATTAAAATAGGTTGATTTCTTTATAAATATTTTGTTTAATTATCATTTTTTATGTTTAAAAACTACTTAGGGGTCGTCCACAAATTATATCATTTTTGTCCATTTTAGACTTGCTCCCTCCCCGCCCCCCATCCTTGCATCCAAAAATCGTAACAATTTCCGTATGAGTCGTAACAAAATCATGCTCATAGACCAAATTTTATGAGTTAAACACCAGTTTTTTCTTGTTTTCTGATGTTTTATCAATAGGCATTTTTCGCAAGCAGTTTGCCACATTTAATTGTGTTTTTGTAGTACTCTTCTAATTGTTTGAGCACTAACAACAACACCAGAAGCTTTTTGTCCGTTTGGGTCCATTTTTTCATGTGGCTTTCTTCTCACGATTACTTGATTTTTTCTTAAATTAACCTCAACGTTTATTTCATCTCTGAAAAGAACGTTGTACCATGTATTCATAGACTAAATTTTAAGATGGTTTTTCACAAGCAGCTCGCCACAAGTAATTGTGTTTTTGTAAT